TAGGTACAAAAAATTACTTTATAATATATATCTAAAGTAGAACTGAAGGCAAAACTTTTTTTTTTTTTTTTTTTGCATTTTGGGTAGAGTAAGGGTATGTTCACACCAGATGAAGTGGGGCTGCATTGGGCACCTATTCCAGCACAGTCCCACTGCATGGACAAGGCAAAATGCCTTGTCTCCTATGTGCCCTGTCCACACTATTGCGTGTGGTGTGCAGACACAGTGTGCTGATAAAAAATACTGCATTCAGTACTTTATATCAGAGCAGCATGTGAGAGGAAATCCTCTACCTCGCACCAGGCAGCCAGCAATTAAAATTTATGAAATTAAAACCTCCAATCAGCTGCCTGTTTTACTGGCCTCTGGCCGCCTATATGAAACAGGCCTTATACTTTAATCGCACAATTGTTAAAAGACCTTTGTTGTTACATGGACTCTACCATTTAGCAAAAAGTCCCTGTTCATACCATAGGTATGAACACAGACTTTTTGCTAAACGATAGAGTCCATGTAACAACAAAGGTCTTTTAGCAATTGTGCGATTAAAGTATAAGGCCTGCTTCATATAGGCGGCCAGAGGCCAGTAAAACAGGCAGCTGATTGGAGGTATTTTAACATGCGTTGGCCAACATGCCACAATGCAGGACAAGAAGATTGCAATTATTTTGTATGGGGCCCATTTATATCTGTGCTTTTTTCATTGGAGGCTGCTAGCACTGTGAACCATATACCCCCTTATCTAAGTGGATAACAGTTATTTTGTGATAAATACAATTAACTGCTGCGCTCCCATTATATACATAAGTATAAAGTATCATGCTCCTATAATCAAAGTAAAACGTGCTAAAACATTTGTGATGAATGATCAACTCATGTAATGTGATAGTATCCAGTGAAAGACCATAAAGTGGAATCAAAGTCCATCCAACGTGTCCTTATACTTAAAGTGATTTTAAAGGCTTATTTAAAAACAAAAAATAACAAACATATTTATACTTACCTGCTGTGTGCAGTGCTTTTGCACAGAGCAGCCCAAATCCTCCTTTTCTTGGGTCCCCCTTCTGGCGCTCCTTGCCCCTCCCTCCTGTGCCCACACAGCAAGCAGTCTGCTCCTGCTGCTCCGTGTATCCATTCACACATGGAGCTGCAGCTCTGCGCCTCCCCCTCTCTTCTCATTTGCTCACTGGCTGTGATTGACAGCAGTGGGAGCCAATGGCACCTGCTTCTGTCTCAGCCAACGAGGAGAGGGAGTCCCGGGATAGCCCAGACTCCAGTGCACACCGCTGGATCAAGAGGGGGCTTAGGTGAGTATTAGGGCGGTCTGGAGGGGATGCTGCACGGAGAAGATTCTTTACCTTCGTGCATAGAATGCTTGAAGGTAAAAACCTTGAGCCACTTTAAATAACCACAAATAAATGTGTCTAAAACATCCAGTGCTTCTTTATCCAAACCTCAATATATGCTCCAGGAAACCGTGCATATTGGACTTAAATTTTGATTTATTTTGGTATACTATGTTTGACAATTTCATTCCAGGAATGGATCATTTAACTACTTGCCATTCGCCCTATAGCAGAACTACTGCTACAGGGTAGCACGGCTGCGCAAAATCACACACACACACACATATATATATATATATATATATATATATATGTGTGTGTATGTATATATATGTGATTTGCATTTCCGGGTAGGGGAGCGCACGCATGTGCACTACCCCCGCCGCTATTGGCTGCTGGGGATGTCAATCACTCAGGGATGGTAATCGGGACTTGATGATCGTCGGCAGGGCTGAGAGGGGAGATCTGTGTGTAAACAACACAGATCTCTCTCCTGTCAGCATGGGCATGCTGCTTTGTATCTCTCTGCACAGCAGAGAGATACAAAGCAGCATGCCTCCCTAGTAAAACACAACACAGCACACAATGTGAAACACACACAGCACACAGTTAACCCTTTGATCGCCCTAGATGTTAACTCCTTCCTGCCCAGTGTTATTAGTACAGTGTCAGTGCTTTTTATTTAGTACTGATCACTGTATTAGTGTCACTGGGGATGTCAGTGGCAGTTAATCAGTTCCCATCCAGTGTCAGAATGCCCGCTGATCGCTCCCATTACTAGTATAAAAAAAAATTTAAACGCCAGTATATATACCGCCATTTGTAGATGCGATAACTTTCACGTAAACCAATTAATATACACTTATGGGGATTTTTTTTTAGCAAAGACATGTAGCAGAATACATTTTGGCCTAAATCTGAGGAAATTTGATTTTTACAATTTTTTTATTGGATATGTTTTGTAGCAAAAAAAGTCGAAAATATAGTTTTTTTTCCAAAAATTGGCGGCCTTTTTTTTGTTTACAGTGCAAAAAATTAAAAACTCAGAGGTGATCAAATACCACCGAAAGAAAGCTCTATCTGTGGGAAAAAAAATTACCGTATTTTTCACTCCATAAGACGCACCTGACCATAAGACGCACCTAGGTTTTAGAGGCAGAAAACAGGAAAAAAAAAAAAAATTCTGAACTAATGGACTGCAGACATAGTACAGGAGATGACCAGAGACTGCGGACATAGTACAGGAGATGACCAGAGACTGCGGACACAGTACAGGGATGACCAGAGACTGCAGACACAGTACAGGGATGACCAGAGACTGCGGACACAGTACAGGAGATGACCAGAGACTGCGGACACAGTACAGGGATGACCAGAGACTGCGGACACAGTACAGGAGATGACCAGAGACTGCGGACACAGTACAGGAGATGACCAGAGACTGCGGACACAGTACAGGGATGACCAGAGACTGCGGACACAGTACAGGAGATGACCAGAGACTGCGGACACAGTACAGGGATGACCAGACACTGCGGACACAGTACAGGAGATGACCAGAGACTGCGGACACAGTACAGGAGATGACCAGAGACTGCGGACACAGTACAGGGATGACCAGAGACTGCGGACACAGTACAGGGATGACCAGAGACTGCGGACACAGTACAGGGATGACCAGAGACTGCGGACACAGTACAGGGATGACCAGAGACTGCGGACACAGTACAGGGATGACCAGAGACTGCGGACACAGTACAGGAGATGACCAGAGACTGCGGACACAGTACAGATGACCAGAGACTGCGGACACAGTACAGGAGATGACCAGAGACTGCGGACACAGTACAGGAGATGACCAGAGACTGCGGACACAGTACAGGAGATGACCAGAGACTGCGGACACAGTACAGGGATGACCAGAGACTGCGGACACAGTACAGGGATGACCAGAGACTGCGGACACAGTACAGGGGATGACCAGAGACTGCGGACACAGTACAGGGATGACCAGAGACTGCGGACACAGTACAGGAGATGACCAGAGACTGCGGACACAGTACAGGAGATGACCAGAGACTGCAGACACAGTACAGGGATGACCAGAGACTGCGGACACAGTACAGGGGATGACCAGAGACTGCGGACAGCACAGGGATGACCAGAGACTGCGGACAGCACAGGGATGACCAGAGACTGCGGACATAGTACAGGGATGACCAGAGACTGCGGACAGCACAGGGATGACCAGAGACTGCGGACATAGTACAGGGATGACCAGAGACTGCGGACATAGTACAGGGATGACCAGAGACTGCGGACCAGAGACTGCGGACATAGTACAGGAGATGACCAGAGACTGCGGACATAGTACAGGGATGACCAGAGACTGCGGACAGTACAGGGGATGACCAGAGACTGTGGATAGTACAGGAGATGACTGCTGACCTTTGGGGAGGTGGGGAGCGAGTACCTGAATTTGACAGGTACCCGCTCCCACTTCCGTGGAGTTGTTCTTTCATCTTACCTGTTCCTCTATCCAGCCGTGCGCTGTCTTCCCGGCTTCTGTAATGGCGCTCGGCATGACAGCCGGGTGCCCAGTGCGCATGAGCGAGAAGCACTTGCGCTTTGTGATTGGTCCGGCAGCTTCTGGGATCTGTCATGTGTCCCAGGTGCCGCCTTACCATTCACAAAAAGCACCGCTTCTTGCGCATGCGCACTTGGCACCCGGCTGTCATGCCCACACTACAGAAGCCGGGAAGACCGCGCCGCTGGATAGAGGAACGGGTAAGATGAAAGAAAAACTCCACGAAAGTGGGAGCGGGTACCTGTCAAATTCAGGTACCCGCTCCCCCCCTCCCCAAAGGTCAGCAGTCATCTCTATAAGGTCCCGCTGCAGAGCTGAGCGGCCGGCCCGGTATTCTGCATGGCGGCGGTGGAAATACCGGACCGGCCGCTCCATATTCGCTCATAAGACGCACTGACATTTTCCCCCCTTTTTTGGGGGGAAAAAAGTGCGTCTTATGGAGCGAAAAATACGGTACATAAATTTTATTTATGTACATCGTTGCATGACCACGCAATCGTCAGCTAAATTAACGCAGTGCCGTATCGCAAAAAATGGCCTGGTCAGGAAGGGGGGGGGGGGTGGTTAAATCCTCTGGAGGGCAAGTGGTTTAAACCCTCTAAAACTCCTCTGCAAGATCGGATGAAATTTGAAGATGCTATTCTTTTTGTCAAGATTCGAGGCACCATCTCTGTGGGAATCTTTCTAATTCCCAAATGGATGCTGCTGCTGGGATGTTCCAGTCATTGGGAGTTAGCCCCCTGCATCACAGGAGCAAGCACTCTTCCTTGTTCCAAATTCTGTGCATTTGTGTTGCGCTTTCTTTGCCCCACTAAGCTCAGCATTGCTTTGAAAGAGGATAAGAGTGCACTGCACATGTGCTCACTCCTATGATGTGGGTGGTGAGCATCCCAGCAACAAGGCAGGAAGGGGGAATGCTAACTATAGGAGTTTTTCAGCCAGCATTCAGGGGGAAGGAGTGAAAATGGGCTAAGGGTATTGCAGTTACATTAATTAACATTTTTCCAAACTACTGTATTTTTCGCTCCATAAGACGCACTTTCCTCCCCCCAAAAATGGGGGAAAATGTCTGTGCATCTTATGGAGCGGCTGGCCCGGTACTCCCTCGTGGTAGAATACCAGGCCGACCGCTCAGGCTCTAATGTGTAGAAGAACCCACTCCTCCATCCTACCTGTTCCTCGGTCCAGCAGTGTACTGCTTCCATCAGCCATCTTCTCTCCTTTACGTCGGCAACTTCAGTGTGGGCACTTGGCTGTGACAGCTTGCGGCTTCACAGCCGGGTGCCTGCTGTGCATGACCGAGAAGGGCTGCGCTTTGTAAATGGCCTGTAGTCACGTGTCCCACAAGACTATGGGGAGGGGGGAGGACAACTCTGCGGAAGTGGGAGTGGGTACCTGTCAAATTTGGGTACCCCCCCCAAAGGTCTGCAGTCTCTGGTCATCTCCTGTACTATGTCCGCAGTCTCTGGTCATCTTCTGTACTATGTCCGCAGTCTCTGGTCATCTCCTGTACTATGTCCGCAGTCTCTGGTCATCTCCTGTACTATGTCTGCAGTCTCTGGTCATCTCCTGTACTATGTCCGCAGTCTCTGGTCATCTCCTGTACTATGTCCGCAGTCTCTGGTCATCTCCTGTACTATGTCCGTAGACTCTGGTCATCTCCTGTACTATGTCCGTAGACTCTGGTCATCTCCTGTACTATGTCCGCAGTCTCTGGTCATCTCCTGTACTATGTCCGCAGTCTCTGGTCATCTCCTGTACTATGTCTGCAGTCTCTGGTCATCTCCTGTGCTATGTTCGCAGTCTCTGGTCATCTCTGTGCTATGTCTGCAGTCTCTGGTCATCTTTGTACTATGTCTGCAGTCTCTGGTCATCTCCTGTACTATGTCGTAGTCTCTGGTCATCTCCTGTACTATGTCCGCAGTCTCTGGTCATCTCCTGTACTATGTCCGCAGTCTCTGGCCATCTCCTGTACTATGCAGTCTCTGGTCATCTCCTGTACTATGCAGTCTCTGGCCATCTCCTGTACTGTGTCCGCAGTCTCTGGCCATCTCCTGTACTATGTCTGCAGTCTCTGGTCATCTCCTGTACTGTGTCCGCAGTCTCTGGTCATCTCCTATTCTGACTCAGATTGTTGTGATAGCAATTTATCCCTTGTGAGACCTCTCTGCCTAACCTGTATAAGCAGATATAATCACTGTGGACAATCCTTATCAGATAGCTGAACTCACCAATACTGTGTTCATCCAGAAGTTGCTTTATTCTGTACATGTGAAACAGGATACAGCAGAATGAATGGTTTCCAGTATTATGCGGTCAAAAGATGATACTTTCTGTAGCGTACTATGCAGAATACATGTGTCCCTGTTACATGTGGTCTGTTAGCTGCCTCCATGACACAGGAAGTGCTGAACTCAAGAAGAAGGGAGGAGCTTCATATACAAAGGAACTGTGTCATAGATCACAGGGAGGCAATATGAAAAACAAATGCATTACCAAATAAGACCACTGGATGGCAGCATTACTAACTATAGAAATGGCCATAGGAAATGGTACAAAAAATAAACTATATGAATTATCATGTACATTAACATAAATATTAACTGTGTAACAGCATACTCCCGTCTGGCATTGTAAATGTCACTATTTAAACCATAACAGTAGTTATACAATTGCAAATAAACAGTGCAATTTGCTTGATGTCTTGAAGACCTGAAAGACATAAAAAATAGAACATGCATATAGTGCAACAATTATAACTTAAGGCTTCAAGTTGTATCAATTAAAGTTCAAGACACTTCCTTCTTGAAGTCACAGGTTGGATCCAGCAGCATACGCAAGCAAGTTCATTCTCCAAAGGGCAAGAGCAGAACAAGTTCCGTGATAGGTCTGCTGAAAGTCTTTACAGTCCCTTGTCTTCCAACTTTCACCTCCACCTTGCGTACCTTGCCGTCATCACTAGGAATGTTCTTTACAATGAGTCCCATAGGCCACTCGATTCTTTCAGCTTGCTGGTCCTTCAGCAGAACGAGATCTCCAACTTTAATGTTAGGGTTCAAGCGTTGCCATTTTCTGCGTCCTTGCAGAGTAGAAATATACTCCATTCTCCAACGATTCCAGAAGTGGTTGGAGAGGTGTTTTACTCGCTTCCACTGGTCATAGCACAGATTTCCTGCTTTAAAGTTTCCAGGTGGAACAGGAACGGACCCAAGCTTCTGGTGTAGCTGGCCAGCTAAGACCAGTCCTAGGTTGTTAATATGGTTCAAATATATGTGTATACCAAACCTGCCAATAACCTCAGTACAGTATATATGTGCATATGTTAAAGCCAAAAGCAAAATCATTGCTGTGATTTATGTCTTTGATTGTTATATGACATTTATATATTCATTGTGTTAGCAGAAGCAGAAAAGGAAAATATGCCTTTAAGAGTTAGTAAAGAACGGAGCCAATCACAGACAGCCTCACACTGTACAGAGCCTTAACCAATCCCAGCCAGTTTCACATTTATGCCTGTGTAAAACTCCCTGCTAGGATTTTCTAGAGACACATGCTCACCAGACAGAGGAGGAAACAGACAGTTCCAATCAGAAAAGCTTTATGGAAGCAGAGCAGGCCAAATAGGTATTTAATGCACTTGTGTTTTCCTCTATTGTTTAACAGTGCAGGTAGATCTGTGTGTAAAACTGTTGTGTGTGTTTTACTTGTAGTTCCACCGAACTTACGAACTTATCGAACTTATCAAATTTACGAACTTACAACGATCAAGTCACTGTAGAGTAATCTAACGAATTTATAAATCCAAGTGAATTTATCAATCTATCGAAATATACAGAACAAATTTATCAAATCTATTGAACCTATCGAGATAAGGTATCGAATCAACCCAATGTAATACGAATTAAACCATTGTAATATGAAAGAAATAAGCCATTGTAAGCAGTGTTATATGAAGAAGATTGAAGTTATTAAAGAAGTTAACTAAAGTATTCGGTGTGCTCTTTAAACCTACTGCATCCATAGAGCGGCATTGGAGGAATTACAGAGTAAAGTCAGTCTAATCAAGCAAAGAAACAGCAATTGCATAATTTTTCTAATGCCACAACGCACTAGGCACCAAAGGGTGCTGCGCCTGCCACAGTGGAACTATTACCCTCAGAGGTCAAGCAACAGCGCTTCTCAACTTGCACAGTAAAGAGTACACTAGAGAAACAGAGCGCCAGCATATACCGCCACGCTGAGACACCTCAGCGGAACAACAGTACAGGCCATAG